GCAGGTCTCAGGTTGAGGTCCAGCGGTGCACACTGAGCTGGGAAGGTCCCAGGTTGAGGCGGTGCACACTGAGCTGGGAAGTTGGCAAAGAGCTTGGCGAAGAGAGTTGGCAAAGAGCTTGGCGAAGAGTTGGCAAGGCGGAAGTGGAGGTGGAAGTTGATGCAGACATGGTCGAGGAGAAACTGGAGGAGGCGGAGGAGGAGGAGGAGGAGGCGAGGAAGAGGAGGAGGAGGAGAAGGAGGAGAAGAGCTAGCCGAGGAGGAGAAGAACAGCTCTGATAAAATCTAACAACCCTCACCTGGCAGGTGGGGAAAAAAAATCGAATCTTTGCTGCAGATCATCACCATTTGTGCTCGCAAAGATCCCAACTCTTGTGAAAATGATGCCTGCTGTCAACAGTAAGAATCTTGACATATCGCATCTCTATGGTTACATGTAAAGATCTCATTGTCAAACTATTTTTCTTGATGATGTTGGGATGAATTCTGGATGACATTTGGGACAGTATAATAATCCTGGGCCTTTCATTTTAGCTTGGCTTGCCCCTTAGCACTACCAATGCATTACCGGCTCTGAAAACGATAAGAGATAAGAGTAAAAAAACGATAACGAGCTTACACGTTTTTTTTTTTTTAACCTGTACATGTTCATGAACCCTGGAGATGGCAACCTGCACAGGCCTCCAAAACGATAGCATAACAATAGCAAGAACGATAACGAAATATGAGAAACACGCGAGCGTTTGGGCCGGTTTGAATATATTCCCTTTTGAAAACCTGTATGTTTGATACATAGCGACGGAACATGGAAGGAAATGAATGTAAAAAGAAAGGAAAATGAAAGGAATATGCAAGGAAACAAATGCAATATGAAAGGAACCGCGAATAGAAGGAACATGGAAGGACATGAATGAAAAATGAGAGCAAAATGAAGGGAAAATGAAAGGACACGAATGCAAAATGAAAGGAGATGAATGCAATATAAGAGAAACATTAAGGGAAATGAATGCAAAATGAAAGGCAATGAAAGGAAATGAACGGAAAAAATGACATTTGGATACATTTGGTGACTTTCGACCAAGGATACTTTCACACCGAAAAAACATATTTCTATAGTACAGAAAGCCCACCACCTGAGAAAACGATAAGCGTAAAACAAAAAATAACATGATTTGGAGACATTTAAAATGACACGGGTTGTTTATACAATCCCATGTCATGTAGTATCCCAAATTTACCATGGAGCAAATGGGTCTGTTGGATGAAATCCGGACAAAATATCCTATAAAAGAAACTTACCATTTGCGGATGGTTTCCAGAAACCATTTATGGCAATATTGGGGATCGTCTACGGCCTTCGGTTTACCACATTATTATTCATCCATGTTTGTTGGTCATACCTCCATGATTGATCATTCTTGATTGCCAACCATAGACGTCATTATTCATCCCATCCCCCTATTATTGGCCATTACTATCCCAATGGTAAACCACATACGGTATCCCAATTATAACCGAATGGTAAAGCCAAAGTGGCATGGTGTGGTAATTATAAATTGGGAATTATAAACCAATGGTAAACCAATAATTATATATGTATAGTACTGTTACATGTGCTGTTAAACCAATTATTACCAGTGTTACCAATTGTACCAACCGTAAACCCACGGTAATTTGCGCATGGATTCACCGCGTTTCAGGACCACGCTGCGCAGCTTGGCCCAAGATCTCACCAGGCGCAGCGGTTGAAAAACAGAATGGTGGAGTTTACCATGGAACAAGTGGGTGGTGGTAAACATATGTGCGCATATATGTATATATATAACAATATAATATAATATAATTTAATATAACATAATATAATATAATATAATATAATATATATATAATATAAATATATATAATATAATATAATATAATATATATTTAATGTATAGTATATGTATAATTATATATATAATACATATATATATATAATATATATATATGTAGATATGTATATATATATGTACATATGAGCAAGGGTCAAAAGACGCTATGAAAGGCTTCAATTACGATCCGCCATCACTACTCAAAATATGTGATTTACTGTGTGTAGCGATAGGGGGCCTTATGTAGCGATACCTCTTTTTAGACTTTGTTTATGATTGAACCTTCCTGTTGGGCGCATGACTTTCCAATCTTTTGATGTCAGAGTGCGACACTGGAGCAGTCGCAGTGGGCTGGTCTTCCTGGGTAGTTGCAAGATGGCCTGTCGTCAAGTATATATGAGATAGTTACATTAAACAATGTTGATATATTGGGGTATGTTGATCTATAAGGTATGCAAGAAACTAATTCATAACGCATCATGAGCTTGATGATGGTGATGATGCTGATGATGATGGTGATGGTGATGATGTTGATTCAGATAGTGACCGTGCTGAGATATGTTGAAAAAGCATCCTTGTGCGGTCACGGACGCTTCTCCAAAGCCATTGTCCAGGAGTAGAATTGCAACATGGAGCTTGTCAGAATTTCGTGTCACTTGAAACATACACCTGAGATCACACATTTTCTGGTCCCCGCAGCGATGCCCGAAGCGATACCCCTCGATACCCAGAGCGATACCTGAAATCCATGAAATTAGGGAGTACCCCACATGGTCACTTGAAACTATACAACTTGTGCTATAGGTGGAAAAATATGGGAAGTATGAACAAGGGCACCCTCAAGTTCTTAATGGGTTAGTTCTTAAAGGGTTCATTTGGTCAGGGTTTTGCCGATTCATTTTGGCGTGGTATTAGGTTGCAAAGGAGGCGGGGTGAAGAAAAAAAGGCGCCGGAAACAAGGCAGCACAGGCAAGACAAGCCAAGACAAGCCAACACAAGCCAAGGGCAGCCTCCGAGGTCAGATGACCTGCAGTGAGTCCGGCTGGTCTCTAGCTGAAGCTGTCGACGTCAGCCTTGGTGATCACGTAAAAATTTGAATTTCTCTGGAGACACCACCGCAAGGGGAATAAGAATCCGATTCCTCATCTGGATCCTCCTCTTCTAGCAGCGATTCTGCCTAGTTGATGAAAAGGGTGCTGGGACTGTGTGTAGCGATAGGGGGCCTTATGAAGCGATGCCATGACCTCACCACATGAATTGAGTTTTGACCGTCGCACATATATATATAGATACATATATATATGTACATGGTACCACACACAAATATACATATACATACACGTAGCCACTTTGAAATGATATTAGGGTGTTTCTGAAATATCACCCAGTAAATAGACATGAATATCGTTTTTGTTTCTCCAGGGTCTCCAGGGTCTCCGGTTTCCAAGGAACATGATCTACACATTGTGGGTTTTGCATATCTATGTTTTGTGGATAATCAGTTAGGATTGTCCATCGTTCATTGCCATGTGAAATCAACAGAGAATATAACTTGGGATATCACCCGCCAATGGAAGATCCAACCATTGGAAATAGGGACGTCATGGGATATGAATTATGCTATAACGTGATACACACATTTATATATATATACAATAATATTGGTCATGACAATAATCACAATAATATCATCATAATAATCATAATAATAACAATAACAACAATAATAGTAACAATGATAATAATAATCATAAAAAATAATAATCATAACAATGACAATAACAATAACAATAAAAAATGATAATAATGATAATAATATATATATATACATGCTTTATACACACCTTAGCCTTAGCCTAAGTTTAATATGATATTCCATTTTTTTGTGAAGATTGAGTATACTGCGCCAAATGACCATTTTAAGAGGGAACATTGTGGCCATGCCAGGCATTGCAGCTCCTCCCAGCGCCAGCTGGGTCAGCTGCAAGGTACTGCTGCGGCGGTCTCGATCTGAGCGACGATGGGGAGATCAAGACAAGTGGAGAATTATGGAGAACCAAAAATGAGTAAACCCATTTTGCTGTATATATAATGTATTATTATTATATATACCATATATATATATATATATCCATTCAAAAATGGCGGTTACGGAAGACACGCGATCGATTTCAAGCGGGCCAAAAAATGGCGGTTCAGCAAATTTCACCAGTGTTTTTTTGATCCAATCAGAAATTCATAGATTTCAACAGCAAAAAACATGTTCAACATGTTTCACCAGCTAAAGAGGTGTTTTCTTTGGTGAAACTCAGATCACTAGAATAGCCGGGACCTGTTTAACATGGTGGTGGTTCCAGCGTTCATGGATAGTCGACATATCAACTCCCATTGATGGTTTACACCTACGACCAGCCTTCTGAGGGGTGTTACATCCACTTGATCCCTATCTCCATGGGCGGTTCAAAATCACCAGTTCTACAGTCAAATCACCATTGTTTTGCTGGTTAAATCCCCATGTTTCCTAACTTCAACCCATGCGGAGGTGAATCTTCCAGCCTTTGTTCCGAGGTCAGGGACCACCACCAGCGCATGGTGAAAAAGTCCGTTTTCCAGGCAGCCGCAACGGAGCAGGGCGTGGGTTGAAAGAGGTGGATACTGGGAGAATCTACAGAAATGGCATGGTTTGAAACGAAAGAAGGACCCTTTAAAGATGTTTAAGTCTATGTGGGCTTTCACCAGGATTTTGGATTTTGCTGTAATCCATCAAAAAGAAAATCGAGGAGGGTGGTCATGTCTTGTGGGGTCCTTTAAACTTATTCAAATCAGTAGATGGTTCAATTTTCAAGAACATGATATGGACTGAAATGTCCTGCATAAAGATACTTGAAGATTCAGATAAGAAAGTCTTGGGTAGTCATGTGAGTCTTTTAAAGAGTACAGACTTTGTAGAAGAGGTTCATTTTTTGATTCAATCACGGGCACCAGTCACTAGAGATGGACCCAGGTAATCCAATGCCAGGGACTAGCACCGGACAGCTGATGATTTGCATTTTTAACACATGGGTAAATCCCAATTATCCCCAATTACTATCAATTTCTATTGTATCAGATGACATCTCCATTTAGATTTATGTTTGATCTTCTAAGCTCACCATTTTTCCGATATGTTTTGATTGGTAAATCTGTCCATTTCAGTCGGTGCCTAGCAAGGTCTGGCTACAGGCCCTGCACCGTGGACAGCGAAGCCGACGGCGTGAAACGCCCGGGTGACGAAGTGCCGGGCAGTGGCCAGGCTTCAGCTCGAAAAAAAAGACCGTTGTGTGTTGATTTGTGGGATATCAGAAGGAAGTTGATATAGAACGATACAAATAGATATGGTAAATATATACAGTATATAATATATATATATATATATAACCATTAATGTAATGAATAAATATGATATAACCGAAATAACTCTATAATGCTACTAATATACATATTGTATGTGTACATTCAATTGCCTACACACTTTTATGCGTGTATCATATTGGGGATCACCAGACAATTCTAGACGTCTCATAGCCCAATGAGATGATGATCCCCAAGTGGCTGCAACGATCAGATGGTACCCTTCTGCACTTCGACATAGCTACAGGGAAAAGAACAACATTTATATAAATTATATTATATAAATTTCCAGAGAGTATTTGATGTTGTATCCCTTGTTCGCTGGGTTAGACGCCAAGTCTTACTTGTAAAGACAATCATGTCATGACAAAAAAGTACCGCGCTACCTCACAGACTTCTCAAAGATTGGAGATCTCAGGCATCTTTCGCCCCACTGACCTCTGGCTTTGTCTTGGTTAAGGCTTCACGATTTTGCCGTAAACAGAGTACGCAAACCAGCTAAAAGCAAAAATCTGCGGAAAATAATGAGACCAGCCCAGCCAGAAGACCTATAGAGCGCAGCGTATCTACAATTGCTCATGACTTCACAATGCTGAATACCTTGGCTGCACAGATGGCCGTCCGGTCCAACACGGATGGATGGCCCTCATGCTGATGTGCAGCAGCTCACCGACCTGCGATGGTGAAAGTCCTGGTTGATCTTCCCTCATTTATGGGTGGGTGCGCAGGCAAGACCAACCTGATGTGGTTGCTGCACGCGGTAGAAAATCATTTATAATTCCAAAGTTGTGTGTGATGGTGCAGACACTTGCATTTTGAGAAGACGCGTTCCAAAAGATCAATCCATGAATTCAAGCTCCAAAGCACTGCCTTTTACATACGTGCGACTTATGAGCTGAACGTCATAGTAAAACTAGCCGCAAGAATGGTTCAAAAGTCACATACTTAAATTGGGAACGTTGGCAGTGCTTCAGCCACGTTAACGAAACATGTTTCACTTGTTTGCTAGAATCTACTTTGTAGAAAGTCTGAATGATAGACATCTTGGCTGCTGAACAAAAAAACACAAAACCAGATCATCGATGCTGCGGCTATAACCGATTAACACCATTTCCCAAGAAAACAACACCCTTACATGATCTTTGATGCATGTAAACCAGCGCCACGGACGGTATGTGAGAAATGGTTTCAGGATGTTTCAGGAGCCGTTTAGGTGGATGATCAACCTTGACCAGATCCATGGTCACAGCAGTGCGCCTGCTGCGGCCCAACCTGCGCAACAATTCGGAGTCAACGCAAAAGTGGTGAATTTCACCAGCAATTCACTGGGGGAAGATGGGGGAAGAAGATACCCTCTGGTAAACTAACATAGCTATGGAAAATCACAATTTTTAATCGGAAAATCATCTATAAATGGCCATTTTCAATAGCTATGTTAGTTTACCAGAGGGTATTTTTATGTATTTTTGCTGTGGGTTTCCAATGTTTCCAAGACACAAAAGATTAGCCATTAGCAACGTTGACATGTGGTTTGTGATCAAACAGTCCTACCCGCAACGTCAAACACTTATGATCTAGTCCACATATAATTGTATATAGTTGTATATATTAATATGTATGCTATTTTGTGTGTAGTGCAATCTAATATATAGTCATCGAATGGTTCATCAATAATCGGGTCGTTTATCACTAGTATTGACCAGCACTAGTCACTGGTTAAAACTTCAGCAGTTGAACAACAAATCCTGAAGGTCAGACTTCCTGTCACCAGGCTTTAATAGGAAAAGACTGGATGATCGCCGCAGCTGTGCTGGCTTGGAACAGCAATGTAGATCGATAAATTGAACATGTCACCACCAGAAGGAAATATTCTGAACTGATCTTGAATTCCCTTGAAAGCTAGTATACGCGTTGTCATTATTTGATTATTGTTATCCCATTTGTCGTGAAAGGCATTTCACTCAGCTCTTGTTTTAGTGAACATGCCTTAGATACATTTAGTTACGGAATGTATACTCGCCATAAAAGGAAGAGATGCCATCTCGATTCATGGACACCAATGTCCTTTCCACCATGACATCCATGACTATTTCTGATACCTTTGGCTTACTAAAGTGTTCATTCTAACCTCTATTATCCCACTAGTATTGCAAATAATACCAAGTACTGTATCCCAATAGCTATATAAATCCAACATGTAATTTTGATTATAAAACAAATCGCAGTCATGCAGAACAAATGGGCGGACAATTTGCTGAGCAGGCAGGGGACAATTTATTGTTGTTCCCCACCTGTCAGATGAGGGTCTCTAGATTTTAACGGTGCAACTCCTTCCTCCTCCTCCTCTTCATTCACCTCCCTCCGTCTCTTTGTTGTCTTCATCCCCTTTGCCAGCTCTGGATGCAGTGGGTCACGCCTGGACCCGATCACCATATTGCCAGCTCCGGATGCTGTGGAGTGCGCCTGAACCCGAACACATGTCAGATAGAATGCCAGAAAGACTGCCAGATAGAATGCCAGAACACATGTCAGATAGAATGTCAGAATATATGTCAGATAGAATGCTGGAAATAATGTCAGAATATATGTCAGATATCACTCGAAGTAAAGCATTTTTATTAGAGTGGCTTGCCGCAAGTATTAAATGATGAATGGGTTTGTGACTGCATAACCAAACATGATCAACAATGGCAGTTTAACGGGACAAATATGATCTTCTGATTTTAGGGTTTTGACTTGACACATGTTCTCTTTGAGCCTCAGCCATCCTCAGTCTACCAAAAAAGTTGATCCTTCTAGAAGAAACACCACGAAAGTACATTACGCCTATGGGAAAGCTGACTACTAGGAATGGATTCAATGGATGGTGAGTCTCAAGCGCCAAGCACTGATAACCTATCTGATGGCTGGTGATAGAGGGGGTTTATGTCTGTGCCTATTACTAATTATTCCTGGCATCGTCACCAGCATGTGGATGGAGGTTTTTGTTTAGTAATATTACTCGTGGAGCACTCCTACTTGTTGACCTTCATTGAAGTTGTTGACCTTTGTTGAAGGTTAGCGATTGGGAGATAAATCGTACCATTCAAGTGAAGTGGGATGAAATTACTAATCTCATGTAAAATCCCGTTGTCAATCTCTTCTTGGTCAGGATCTCAGCGATAGATCTGCTTGGTACTGTGATGATTTTGGACCTTAGCCAGAATTGGCTTTGAGACGATTTATGTCCACTTTATCAAGCATTTACCAACATGTTAGATGTATACAGGTGTAATGTTCGTGCTTATTCGTTGGTTGATTAGCGGATATAGGATGTTATAGGATGATATATTGCTGTAGGGCCCACCCCATGGAACAACCAATAGGTGCAGGATGATGATCCCATAATAATAATCGGTACTCATTAATCATTGATTAGTCAACCCCCTAAAAAAAAATAGTTTAGTTATTGGATGACATTCATATGAGCAAATTCCATCAAGCATCATCTAATCAGTCATAAATTAGTATCTAATCAGTCAGTTCCCGAATCAATCACTATAATTCCCTAAACATTACCCATACCCCATGGATCCCCATGGTAATTTAAGAGTTTGCAATGGAATTTCAACATTTTAATAGGGATTTATCTTTGTTTCATTATTTCTATAGTCTGTGGCTTCCATAGCTATGTTAAAGTACCAAAGGGATTCAAAGGGTATGAACCAATCTTTTATTTTACACTATCAATATTTTGTTGTTATCCCCATTATATCACCATTATATTACCATTAAGTCACCATTTGATAATGATGTATATATATATATATACACGTATATATTTAAAATATACATATGTATATCTCTAAATATTATATATATATATATTTATTTATTTATACATATACATGTGACTACATTGTTGGTATCCATTTGGTTATGATTCCTGTATCAATCGTCACCTAATCAACTACCAATACATCATCATCTCCTACATTATTACCAATAAAATTCACTAAAATTCGGCTTTAAAATGGTGGTCCCAAATCATCCAAGTCACATTCCCGACCATGACTATTCGTAAACCCATGGGGACACCCATAAGTACTGATTATGAGTACTAATTATTATTATTATCATTGTTATTATTTATTATTAAACCATGGTGCTGTTCATTGTATGAAACCATGGGTTTATTATATCAATGACCCCATTAGTCAAACCATGAGTATGGGGACTTGGGGATGACACCTCCATATCCCCCCGGCGACAGGCCTCTTCAGCGGTGCAGACACCCTGCGGCCAGCGCTCCGTCGAGGAGCTACGGCGCCTGCGCTGCTTCGTGTGCCTCGGTCGAAGCTCCAAAGGGGGGGAGATCTGCTGTGAAGACTTAAGGTCTAGGGAACTAGAGATGGCTTAGTCATAGACTCTTCTATTATTGTGGTACCAAATTTTGACCCATATCTGTCTTGACCATATGGTGACTTAATGGGGATGGAGTGGGAAAATAAAGAAATATAATACCTTCTCATGAAATAATATCATATATATATATAACCCTAATGAATATCCAGGCAATGAGAATATATGTATATATTGGTATATGGGATTCAGAAGCAACTTGATGACCAGTTGGTAATTATTCGGATGCCTATGAAACACTTCAACTTCAATAGTGGAATTATAACTGGCTAAACCAGTATGTCTTGAACAGCCTTGATTTGCTGAAGATTATTTTTATCTTCTCACTGGGAGATCTACTACTTGGGGAATCCACAGGAAATAGTTTTTACGTTTTAGAGGTTCCTTTAGCAAATCCCAACTATATGTATGTGTACGGAGCTAAGTTCAATTGAACACATGTCTTGATATATATATATACGTACATATATACATATAATTATATATATGTACATATCCGTATTGTAGTTACACAAAAGCTCGTAGTGGTATCATATAGGTATTGCATATTACTGCATGTTTGTTGCAATATGCATTTTACGGTTTTACACAAAGTGGTAAAATATGGTAAATATATGTTAGCTATTTAAAAAATGATTGTGGTGTTGTTCATTGCCGGATATTTTCTATGATTCATACACAAGGGAAGATTCAGTCACTCGTGCAATTTCATGCTCCGGCAGGTTGGCGAAATGACTAGTAAGGGGAGCCTATATCCCCACTGTGATGCAAATTGATTAGTCATCACTAAGCTGCATAGAACATCAGAGTGTGGAAAGGATGCAAATCGGTTGGCAGCCGCGCATGATTAAACAAACAAAATCAACCTGGAACAACAGAATCAGCTACTCAAAATGAGCGACAAGCACTTGTGTGGTTCAAAGACGAAAAAACCCAGCATAGATAGCTCAGCGATGTTTTGCCACCATGGACGGCGAACTGTCCATATAAGTCAATCTAAGGGCACATCCATCGACTCGACTGCTTACTTGATGGAATTGTTTGACTTTCGAGGATCACACGGCCACGTTATGTTACCTTGTTGTGTTCTAAGCTCAGCTATAGGTTGGTACATAGGCAGTTTGTTTCGGTGATACATATAATACAGTAGAATATTTTAAACATTATAAGATGTTCTTTATTGTCATTATGTGTATTTATATATATATACATGAAATTACATATATATGTATTATTTTTGTGACTATTACTCTATATATATATATATAGTATGTATGCATTATTTTGATATCTACATATAGATACATTATGATACATTATCGAAACATATGTTTTTTCTTTGGGACCTCTACCCCAGTGGTTCCGTTCGTGGTTCGCCCAGGTTAGGAGCCAGTCGAGGCGGAAGATTCAAAGAACTGGGCGATCCTGGGCGAGGGACCCTGATACTACTGTGGATGGTAAAAGGTAATATATATATATTTACCCTCTGGTAATTTAACAGTTTGCTATTGAAAATTGCCATTTATAGTGGATTTACCCATTTAACATGGTGATTTTCCATTGTTATGTTAATTTACCAGAGGGGAATGGGATCTATAACGGTAACTATGGGATTACAACAATACTATAATTACAATAAATTCTCCCATTATGCAACTATATAAGAAACACTGTAAATAATGGGATTATAATGGTAACTATGAAACACTGTAACTATACTTTTATGAATTGCTGAATCTTGGGGTTATCATTGGGTAGACGTTTACATAGATGGGGAAACCTTAGGAACATCTTCTGCAAATGGTGTGTTTCCCACATCCATGTTAGTTTAAAGGAGGGTGTACTATGGTATATTAGTAAATATTGAGGTTATGGGGATGTTATTAGGGCTACGCGTTCTGGGGATGTTATTGCGAGGATGTTATTGGGTATATTCTGGAAGCCAGGAAATTTTGGAACCACAAGCAACCCCCCTACGGCCCTACGGATAGCAAGTGGTAGAATCATTCATTCACATATTCATTTCCAAATATGCCTAAGTATGATGTATGATCGTGTTGCAATATCGCTGACTTCTTGCCCTCAACATGTTTGAGTCAAATTTGGTCAAATAAAGTCAGACAGGACAACCAATAAAAATCATTGGTGTGTGTGTGTGTGTAACATCTGGATAGATGTAAAACTTCTCTTTTTTCTTTTTCTCTCCTTCAGCAGGGGGCTTGCGGCCATCATGCAAACGCATGCCAGCGAAGCTATGCATGATGGTGGAAGCCGGGGCTGATCACCCTGGTCTACCTGGATTTTTGTGATTACCTGTTGTTCAGGGTCTGCTTCCACTCATATTCCATTATTTTGCAATCAGTGCGTGTGAGTGGCGAAGGGGCTAAGCCGAGAACCCCAAAACAATCATTTCTTTTTCGATGGTATTTTACACGTGGTCCCTGCGATACTTTCTGAAATGGCGAAGGGCTAAGCCAAGAACTCTACAGAGATCATTGTCACGGTCTACGTTTTATTTGAAGGTATCTTTTTGATGGTATTTATGGGCGTGATTGTCTTCTCGGAGTACCTTCTATTGGTCGACTAATTCATCTAGGATTATTGTTTTTCTGACCCATTTGCACGTTTAAGGACTCAGTTCCTGATGGATCACTTAAAAGATCCAATTTTGTCTAGTGTGATTCTTACGGTGGCTCCGACATGGTGCCATAGGGCCATTGGAGGCAACCCCGCTGTGGGTGAATGTTGACTGACCTGATTTCGGAAGTGACAGTGACACTTTTGATTTAGCATTTCCTTTACGTAATGTGCAACAGTTGGCCTTTCGTTTTCCAGCTTTTTTACGTTGTCCGGCTGGTCCTGTTGTCCCTTGAGAACCTTGGTAAATGCACTGCTGCGACAGTGAAGCCACCCTGAACTACCAGAAACTCCATTTTAGTCGCTGCCGCTCCAACCTTTTGCATTTCAGCATAGCAAAACGCGCAACAGGCATGTCCTTTTCCTGCAGGTATGGTCTCTTTGGTATTTGGTGAAGTTGAACATATTGTGCATCTAATTCGATTGAACTTGAACAGCTGTTTATGCCCATGTGGCTGGATTTGACCACGGTCCCCTTTGGGAATAACGCACGGCACTTTAGGGATGAACTGAGTCCTTGCTATTATTTTTTTGTTGCTTCTCTTTTGTCACCAACTAATCCCCATTCGGTCCCTAATTCTTCCCCCAGTCCCCTCTGTAATGTGTTGTGGGGTGTGTGCCCTGTGCTGTTCAGGTCCGTTTCGCCGCGTAGGTTGGTTCTGGAGGTCCGTTTGTTCCCCTCCCCCCCCTGCGCTGTTTTGGCCTTTTGCCCGTCGTTGGTGTCCGCTTTTTTCCTCTTGCCTTTCAGGGTTGACCCGGCCCTGGCCGGGTGTGTGTGTGTGTGTAACATCTGGATAGGTGTAAAACTTCTCTTTTTTCTTTTTCTTTCCTTCTAGCAGGGGGCACGCGGCCATCATGCAAACGCATGCCAACGAAGCTATGCATGATGGTGGAAGCCGGGGCTGATCACCCTGGTGTACCTGCATTGTTGTGATTACCTGTTGTTCAGGGTCTGCTTCCACTCATATTCCATTGTTTTGCAATCATGGCGTGTGAGTGGCGAAGGGGCTAAGCCGAGAACCCACAAACAATCATTTCTTTTTCGATGGTATTTTACACATGGTTTTCTGAAATAGCGAAGGGCTAAGCCAAGAACCCTACAGAGATCATTGTCACGGTCTACGTTTTATTTGAAGGTATCGTTTTGATGGTATTTATGGGCGTGATTTGTCTTCTCGGAGTACCTTCTATTGGTCGACTAATTCATCTAGGATTATTGTTTTCTTGACTCATTTGCACGTTTAAGGACTCAGTTCCTGATGGATTACTTAAAAGATCAGATTTTGTCTAGTGTGTGTGTATTTATCCTTTGGTAATGCTAGTAATGCCGCATGGTAGTGGTGATGATTATTACTGTTCTTCCCATCCGAATGACCTTATACATAGGGGAGTTCCTATTGCTATGTTTGATTACCGGGAGTTACACTTACTGCCATGGGAAATGCAAGCTGTGAAAGCAGGCACAAACTTACCTATATATATTGTCGGATTTCAGGCTCCTCGATCCACAGATTGGATGACCTTAGGTATAGATTCACCAGATCCACAGAGATTGAGTAGCTGGCGAATTATGGAAGCGATTCAAGAGTAGTCTTGCTGGTTTAAACAAAAACATTCAACAGCCAGATTAATGTGGTTGCTTTCCACTGCAGGTGAAAACGTCATTCTTTGAGAAATATCCCGAGCTACCTATCCTCGACCGAAATAGAACTGGCCAAAAGCAGACCCATTGTGGAAGATCATGTTCCCAAAGAACATGTTCAATTTAGCTCTCCTCTTGGCGTTGGTGACACTAGGAATTGACCATATGTTGGCTTGAGGATGTGCCAATACCCTATGGATCCCTATGGCCCCATGGCCCGGGGGTGAACATCCACGAACAACACCCTTTGGTTAATAGGGATTTTGCAGACCATTGATCCAGTGTATAAAGCTGGGAAAGGGATTGATAGCGGTGCTCTTCCAATATGATCACATCCTATTTTATTTTTTTTGGGCTATATATTGGGTATATATCCAATTTGATGATGAATATTGGCCAAGTTCGTTTCTGGGGATGATTGTAGCTAAAGAAATAGCTGACCATGCGAGCTGGTATAATCCGTCATTGTGGTCTTATGGTGACGATGTAGTTCGAACCTTACATGGTCTCACAACAAAATACCCACCAGATCCCACCAGCAATATCCAGCAATTGTATCCAAAGTCGGTTTGGTATACAGTCAATCGGGAACATTCCAATCTTATCCCACATGTTTGTGAATCTCTGTATATAATGATATGGGTTTGTTCGAAAACGAATGGGTACCAACAAAAAAGATGGTTTATCATAATTACATTTCTGGGACGTATTGTCCTTTTCCAGTTAAATCCACATATCATATGATTAGTTATCTCCGTTATATCCCATTTACATCGCCACTCATATCCCCATCAATCCCATTGACTCACCATGTTTATTGGATACATGGATACATCCACATTTGCGATGGTTGAGTCCACATTTTTGTTGATTCTTATTGATTGAATCCCCGAACATTTCCTGGTTAGTTTTACTCATCGTATTTTCCTTTCATTTTTCATGACCAAGTCACCATTATTGTTGTTGGTTACATTTCTTTGTGTTGGTTATGCCCAATAATTCATCGGCCCCGATACATCGCTGCGCGTTGCGTGCAGGTGAGCTGGTCCACAGCGCTCCCTCGGGCCGTGGAACGCTTTTTTGGAACTTCGCGGAGGCGCCGGGGGACTGGCGCCGGGATGGCGGCCTCCCCGGGTGTCGATCCTCAAAAAAATCATCGTTCCCCGAATCACCATGTTGGGTGGTATACACACCATATTAAGACAGACCTAATTATATACATAGCATATATTATTGTTGTTGTATTATATACATACTATATGTGAATCGGTAGGGGGTACATCTGTACAAGATCCCAAGTTTTGTTGGTTAAATCCACCCATGCTGTATATCCCATAGTATACCCAATGTATTCCCGTAAAATGGTTGACTCCAAATACCCACAGATTAGTTATTGATTAGTTATATACCGACTATAGCCGCATTGCACCCATTCTATACGTATTGACTGGAGGTTCGTTCTGTGAAATCAAAATGTGACATCATTATTTTCCCATGATATACCCTAGGGTAAAAGTTTACATACATGGTTTAGGATGTTTTAGGAACATGATCTACCAATGTTTTTTTTTCAAGTGTTTCCACATCTATGTAAACGTTTACGAGTAAAGCCTTGGACATGTTCGTCCTTTGGAGGCAATCCAGGATGACGCCTGTCAGCACTTGGCCTTGCGCTCCCTGAGCACGGAACCCTGGTCCCATTGGATCTTACACAACGGTGGGGATTTCAACATCACACATAGAGATTTTAACCAGAAAAGATGTGGGTTTGAAAGTAGGGTATCCCAAAATCTCGTGGTTCACCGTATTTTTTTTTTACGATTTCACTAGAATACCGAAGATGTTTGGACTAACCCATGTGGGTTTCACATGATTTAGCCAGCAAACATGTGTTTGCTTTAGGATTTAGGCAACAAACGTGTTTCAACCAAACATGATATGAATCAAACCCGGTATGGCTAGTATATGTCCCATTCTGTTCGCATTATACCATCATTATACCACCATTTGAGACCTTGAATTGGCCAATTGGGGATGTCACTACTTTGAAATTGGAGGATGAGAACCCAACCATTCACCATCCCTGGATGAGTAGCCCTATGTCCTCTGGTTGATCATATCCCTATGGCCTGGACCCTGGACATATAGAATGGTGGTATTCCTGATTTTCAGTACCCAAGTCTCATATCAACATGGTGAAATACTTTTCATTTGTTCCCATCAATTTTCCGTAAATCCCAATATATTCACATGTTTGATGATGTGTTTCCCATTGATCAAAGGGTCAAGTCCCTATTGTTGATGGCTAAATCACGATATTTGTTGGGTTATGCCCCAACAATGGCAACGTTGATTATAAAATATGGTACCCCCCCCAAAACCTACCTTTTTTACATTTGTATTGGTATTTACAGTATTTTATGTAGATTTTTTTCTGGAGTGAATAAAGCTGAAAAAAACTAAAAACTAGAGCTGAAAACACTGAAGCAAAACTATAAATTTTAGGAACTATGTCTAGCCCCAAGTCTAAACTAAAAAAACAGAAAAATGAAAAACTGAAAAAACTGAAAAAACTGTAATTTTTGGGAACTATGTCTAGCTCCAGGTCTAAACTGAAAAAAACTGAAAAAATTGAAAAAACTAAAAAAACTGAAAAAACTATATTTTTGGGTAACTATATCTAGATCTGGGTCCCAGCCATAGTTCTAGAAAAATATAGTTTTTCCCCACCTGCCAGGTGAGGGTTGTTAGATTTTATGTCAGTTGCTTGCTCCTCCTCCTCCTCCTTCTCCTCCTCCTCTCCTCGTCTCCTCTCCTCGTCTCCTCTCCTCGTCTCCTCTCCTCCTGCTCCTCTCCTCCTGCTCCCTGCCGGACCTCAACCACGACTCTCGACGCCCAGTGTTCCCTGCCGGACCTCAACCACGACCATCCCCGCCCAGTGTTCCCTGCCGGACCTCAACCACGACCATCCACGCCCAGTGTTCCCTGCCGGACCTCAACCGCGAGTATCCACGCCAAGTGTTCCCTGCCGGACCTCATGTAGGAAGATATGCCAGATAGAATGCCAGAAGGTATGCCAGATAGAATGTCAGATAGAATGCCAGAAGGTATGCCAGATAAAGTGCCAGAATGATTGCCAGAACATATGCCAGATAGAATGCCAGATAGAATGTCAGAAGATATGCCAGAAGATATGCCAGATATAGAGTGCCAGAAGATATGCCAGAACATATGCCAGGTAGAATGCCAGAAGGTGTGCCAGATAGAATGCCAGAAGATATGCCAGATAAAATGGCAGAAGATATGTCAGATAGAATGTCAGATAGAATGCCAGAAGGTATGCCAGATAAAGTGCCAGAATGATTGCCAGAACATGTGCCAGAAGATATGCCAGAACATATGCCAGGTAGAATGCCAGAAGATATGCCAGATAAAGTGCCAGAAGATATGCCAGAAGATATGCCAGGTAGAATGCCAGAAGATATGCCAGATTCAATGCCAGAAGATATGCCAGATAAACTGCCAGAAGATATGTCAGACAGAATGCCAGAAGATTTTCCAGTAACAAAACGTATAGATGTCATGGTGGGGATAACTCGAAGTACAGTTTTTTTCAGTTTTTTCAGTTTTTTCGGTTTACGGATGGAATCCGCAGTATTTCCGCGAAGAGGCCCCTTTTATTTATCTCCTGCTGGTTCCTGTTGCCATTGCCTCATGGCTGCGGCTCCTCGTCCGGACAGTCCGGAGATCCAGTATGAGGATGATTTTTGGGAGTGCCTTGGACGCGAACCATCCTGTTAATACTTTCCAATGGCATTTGTAATTCTGGTCTGCTTCATCCCTTTCAACGGCTGTCACTGCAATCCTGCCTTTCAAATCTGCCCATTGCTTCAACATTGTTCCCATCCAAGGTCTGCGTGGACTTTGCCACCTCTCACCGACCCAAGCTGGTGGAAGTCACGTCCTTATGAGGAACGGCCACGCGTCCGATCCCGGAGTCCAAGAAGGGCCCCACGAACTCCGCCTGGCCTCCTCCCACTCCTCCAACGGAGATTTCGCCACACGTCGGCACAAGGGTGCCGATGACACCGCCCGAGCTGCTCGGACCGGCGCCGTGCACACCAGAAAGCCAGTAAGTCATGGAAGTGGTTTTGGAAAAGAATGTGGGCACAAAAAGTAATTGTTTTGCTGCAGATAGGTATTCCTTTAGCTGCTTTCTGGTGTGGGCGGTGAGCTATGATGCTGGCATACGCATTACGTGTTTATTAAGACCAGATCAGAGCACTGCCCACCTATGTCCGCGTGACCACACACAAGGATCCCAAGACTGGTCGCAAATTTAAGACTAAAGGTGGCACGCAAATTATAGACCGTGCCTGGCGCTTCCTCAAAGACAGGATTCATTTAAACCAACATTGCCGAGTTGGAACGCCTCTGCTGCGTGCCAAAATTCGCAGTGCCCAATACGAGTATTGGCACAGGAATGCAGATCTATGGCTTCAAACCGGCATTGTGTGTACATGGCATGTCGCCAAAAGCTTGGCTTAATCTCAGTGCTCCATCCATCGCAGAAAAAAATTCCTTCTGTCAATGCTTCATTGTTTGCTGCAACTCGCATGATCATGCAAATGTCATGAAAATACAAAATTTCACCACCACAAACAGTCTGAAACATTCTTGTCTGCAATTCCTTTACTTACCACAAGTCGATAAATATGAACGAAATTGTTTGCATGTCTCTGCCTCTGACACACAATCAAAATACAGTATTTCCTCTTGTCTGCAATTCCTCTGCCTATCTGCATGTCCCTGCCTCTGACACACAAGCACCAACATGAAAACCAACATGAAAGTCATAAAAAAGTAGGTTTGGGGGGGGCTAGCTAATATATATATATATATATATATCAAATATCATTTTGTTGGTCAATGTCGTTTATATCAGAGTTATCCCAATCAATATCCTACCAGACAATGTCATGAAAACCCCCATTCTTGTATCCCCCATTGGTCCAGAACATATCACCATTGGGATTCAGCGATCCCAACACACAAGCAAAATGGAGCTGGTTGGGGTCATCCCATTTTATCAGTTCCGATGATATCTCAGGAATATATGATAACCAACCCAGGGACCCATGGTATGGTTGGTTATCTGATATCTATATATATATATATAATATAATATAATATATATACATTTCTATTATGGTTGGTTTTGTTACCATCTTTTCGCCGGTGTATACTAAGTTTATACCACCATTTTAGTTGGTTGTGTATCTTATCATCCCATTGATTAGTTGGTTATATGATATATCCCATTATATCCATTATATCCAACGCATATCCCAATGTCAGTTTGTTAAATCATACATGTCACCATGGTTGATGCATTTATGGTTGATGGGGTTGGTAGGTCATCCCCATATCATTGCTACGCAGCATCCCATGATATACCATCAAATTCCCACTAGAATCCTAATATGTACCACCGACATCTCATGATTTATCTTATCACCCTCTTAAATTCTTGGTTATATATCGATTTATATCCAATGATATCCCAAGTATTGGTGCTTAAATCATCTTAAATCATCAAATATCACCGTGTTTGAGGTGGGTCGGTGAGTCATCCCCATGTTATCCAGTCGCCCAAGGTCCAGGTGAGACAATCTTCCAGGAAGGCTGCCAGGCTGAGGACCTCTTCATTGTTCTCTCAGGTGCCGTTGCATGGGATTTACCCCAAACATGGGGATTTAACCATGACAAAATGTGGATTTCACCAAGAAATGGGATTGAACCATCGGCAATTGGGATGTATTGGGATGTAACTACCAACACAATTTTGGATATGATAGGAAGTCATACAACATTACAACCAACATTGGAGTATAGGTTGCATATTGAACCAACTAACCAAAGTGGTGGATTTCATCAACCAAATCTAGGGATCTCACGGGAACAGTAGAAAGGATACATAGGGACCATTGGATGTACATCCCAGTGATCCGTGATTCACTGTATAGCCCCGTTAGACGAGTGGGTTTTGTCAGTAACCAAAGCCACTCACGATTTAAGGGGAACCCCCGAATTGGATTTATGTAACCAACATGAGAATTTCACGGCTCAACGAGTGAAACTATAGTGATTTGAAGGTGTCGGGAACGCGAGAGACATATAGGACCAAGGGCGAAATATATTTTGAAACATGGGAATCTATATGAATCAATGGGATTTCGAAACTGGGTGAGTTCTAGGATGTATCTTTAGTATTCATCAAAGATGGGGATTTGGCCAAGAAGGATAGTGATTTTTTATCCACGCACACGTTCATTGAAGTGAACTCTAGCGACACAAAAAGGCCCAGATCCAGAATTTCCAGTTCGTGGTAGATGTCATTTCAAGCCATCCAATCTACGATTGAATACAGTTGATATCTATTTTTTTCACTGTTTGAATTTGATCAATGGTCGATTCAGGAAGTTGTTGCTTCCCAAACTCCAGGTCTTTGTAGATTTGGTGGTTGGTGCCGGTGCATTGCCTTTGTTTTGCCGAGCCCTAGTTTAACAGGTTTAACCGTACGCAAAATTGTGATTGAAACCACCAGAAATGTACGGCGAATTGGGATTGACATCTCACGCAAAGACTGGAATCGAATGTATGGCGATTTCACCCACGCAATCCCATGCAAAAAAAAAGTTGGTTAAAACCCAGTTGATCCAGTCCCCTTAATATCGAATACACACAGAAACTGGGGGCTCCACCATTTCAAGCCGGGCCTGTTGGTTGATGATTGTATTGGGTTGCACTAGCCACTATATTAATGTAGGGGATTCTCCTAATCCATTGCCTAGGAATCCGAGAATCATAATCCAGAACCTAAGAATCCCGTTCTTCACCAGGCAGTATTTGGTGGAATGCTGCCATATGTTGGTTATATATATATATATACATGTTGTATTATATATATATATATAAGTTAGACTGTTGCTCCCCCGTCTTTCTCATCTAACCGCCCACATTATTATACAAGCAAATTCTATGGGGTTAATACCAAAGACAGGGGAGCAACACCTTATAGAAAACAATAACATAAATCATAACAACAAAACAACAAAACAAAAAACTCAAACAACCTAAACAATACAATAGATTATAAAAAAGACTACACCATAAATCATAACAAAAAAACAATTTCACTTTTATAATTTTGAAATTATAAAATGAAATTTATGTTTGCTGTTTCTTTAAGTTCTCCAGATGCTTTGTTGTTTGTGTGTGTGTCTTGTAATTCTTACATATTTCATAATCATCACATACAGGGCAGGTCATCCATTTTATTTTAGCATTCACTTGTTCAATGTTTTCTGCTCTATGATTTCTTCTTCTTTCATTTATTTCTTCCCTGTGTGTCCTACCATAATTTCTAGCATATTCCTTTGCCTCCTCTATATGATTGTAATAATAGTCTCTACTCCTTTCATTATATTTTTCTTTGTTCTTTTGATGATTAGCCCTCATATATTCCCTACATTTATCACAAGTTTTGCATTTACTCTCTTCCATTTCCTTAAAACATTTAGCACACTTGACTTTAGTATCCTCCATTACCTACTATAGATAGGTAATAACTCTTTAAGTGTCTTTCCTATCCCTTTTCCCTAGATTATAACATAATCAACAACAAAATCATAACAAACACATAAAACAAAGAAAAAACAAAACAACCTAAACGATACAATAGACCATAAAACAAACCTTACCATAAACCATAACAACAAACCATACACTTAACCTCATTCAAAAGCCTATTGTAAAGCCTATACCTATGAATGGACTTTAAGATAAATTATGAAATAATTTATCTATAAAGCCACATCCCAGCAATGGTAAAGCCAATACATAAAAATGAATGAGAAGAAGAAACCATCTAAAAACAATTCATTTGTTAAATACCCCGTATTCAGTATCCGAATACACCCGTATTCAGTATCCGAATACACCCGTATTCTGTATTCAGTATCCGAATACGCCATTATTCTGTATTCAAATGCTGAATACCCCGTATTCAGTATCTGAATGCGCCCTTATTCTGTATTCAAATGCTGAATACGTCCATAGGCTCAATACCCAATGTCCAGCCCTTAGACATCCCAATGTCCAGCCCTTAGACATCCCAATGTCCAGCCCTTAGACATCCCAATGTCCAGCCCCCATACCTTATGAGCCCAAGTAAGACCCCCCTATCCTACCTTATGAGCCCTTTTTCCAAGTAGAAAATGAACATCCTACCCAGTAGGAAATCAAAATCCTACTTCAAGGCGCAGTATTTCAGTGGCAAGGCGCAACTATCTGAAACATACAACATTTACAGCATTCAGTATTTCTTCTACCAGTTCTTGAGGGATTTTATACAAATCAGTCTGTGAATGAAAAACAGGATTATCCCCCCAGTCGGCTTTGGTTTTTGAGGGTAAGCGTTGTGCTGTTTCTTTATGCCTGTTCCCATCCATACTATCACAATCCTTTTTACAAAGAGGTCTGGGTGTCCAAGTGTCCAAGTTAGTCCAGAGCCTCGTTCTTTTCCTGTAATTAAAGCCATACTTACAATAGCCAATATCAAAGTATGGAAGCCCTTTCATAAACTGCTGCTCTTTCAAAAGCCCACTTTGCGGATTTTCTATCAGCCATATTCGCGGATTAAAGTAGTTGATTATCTCAAGCGTTTTCAAAACTATTAGGTTAGCTTCATCTATTTTTCGCACACCGACGGTTTTAGCCCTACTATATTCAATACAAGGGGGAGATGCGTGTATCATATCAAAGTATTTCACTGGATTTTTTTTGTATTTCCATTGTAGTATGTCGCAGTTTATATCAGCCCCGTTCAAATCTAATGACACAACAGTCCAGCCAAGCGCACTCGCGACAGTTCCCACACTGCCGGTTCCGCTAAACAATTCTAACAATTTCATATTTATATATACATATATATAAATATAAAATTTCACCTATTCACCCATCACTTTGAAGACTTCACCATCCCTTTCAATCTTGTAAAATTCCAGAGTGGATGCCTTAGGCATTTTTATCTTGCCTTCACTCAGCATTTTCAGATACTGCTGTTGCTTGGTTTCAAAAGTTCCTACAGGTCTCCCGATTTTTCCCCACATCTTTGTGTGGGGTTCTTGTTTTTGATTCTGTATCCCGGGCTCCTTCTCCTTCTCCTCCTCCTCCTCCCGCCGCCCGCCGCCTCCACATACCCAAACGTAACATACAATAACTTCACACACACAAACTTCACACACACAATAACTTCACATACCCAAACGTAACATACAATAACTTCACACACACACAAACTTCACATACAATAACTTCACATACAAACTTAACACACACACAAACTTCACACACACAAACTTCACATACAATAACTACACATACCCAAACGTAACATACAATAACTTCACACACACAAACTTACACACACACAAACTTCACATACAATAACTTCACATACCCAAACGTAACATACAATAACTTCACATACAATAACATTCACATACAATAACTTCACATACAAACTTAACACACACACAAACTTCACACACACACACTTCACATACAATAACTTCACATACCCAAACGTAACATACAATAACTTCACACACACAAACTTACACACACACAAACGTAACATACAATAACTTCACACACACACACAAACTTCACATACAATAACATTCACATACGATAACTTCACATACAAACTTAACACACACACACAAACTTCACACACACACACTTCACATACAATAACTTCACACACACAAACTTACACACACAAACTTCACATACAATAACTTCACATACCCAAACGTAACATACAATAACTTCACACACACAAACTTCACATACAATAACTTCACATACAATAACTTCACATACAAACTTAACACACACACAAACTTAACATACAATAACTTCACATACAATTTTGCGTGGCAGGCGTGCCACTTATGGTACTGGGTGGCGCCCTTGGGCCGGGATTTGTCGCCGGGGCGCCGCGCCACTTCTGCGTGGCAGGCGTGGCACTACCTGACATCCACCTTCGTTTCACGTGGCAGGCGTGGCACAATCTCACATCTACCGTCGTTTTGCGTGGCAGGCGTGGCACTTATGGCACTGGGTGGCGCGCTTGGACTTGGTTTAGGCGCGCGTGACGCCCGTGACGCCGCGCCACTTCTGCGTGGCAGGCGTGGCACTTGGTGACATCCACCTTCGTTTCACGTGGCAGGCGTGGCACAACCTCACATCTACCGTCGTTTTGCGTGGCAGGCGTGGCACTTATGGCACTGGGTGGCGCGCTTGGACTGGGTTTAGGCGCGCGTGACGCCCGTGACGCCGCGCCACTTCTGCGTGGCAGGCGTGGCACTTGGTGACATCCACCTTCGTTTCACGTGGCAGGCGTGGCACAACCTCACATCTACCGTCGTTTTGCGTGGCAGGCGTGGTACACATGGCACTGGGTGGCGCGCTTGGACTGGGTTTAGGCGCGCGTGACGCCCGTGACGCCGCGCCACTTCTGCGTGGCAGGCGTGGCACAAACACACATCCACCTTCGTTTCACGTGGCAGGCGTGGCACAACCTCACATCTACCGTCGTTTTGCGTGGCAGGCGTGGCACTTATGGCACTGGGTGGCGCGCTTGGACTGG